ATATATTAATTATACGAATTTAATTTTCTATAACATGGCGATTGACTATTATTGTTAGTAATTTGCTTTACGCGTATTTATTTATAATTAGGTTATGTAATATATGCATGTGTCCGATTTAAATATTATTAAAATTTATGTCCTTGGTTATTGGTTGGACATTTGTCATGAAATAATTTAGTATTAATGTACAGTGTTAAATTGAGAATTTTTATATTTTGATTATATTATCTTGGAGGGTCATTATTTTCTTCAATTATTATATAGGAAATTGTATATAGGCCTTTTATTAATTACGATTGTTCTTTTTCAGGTTTCTAGTGGTGAAGATCTACATTTAAGAGAGAGTTTACGTGGAAAAAAGAGAGAGATGTTCAAGCTTATAATTTGTGCTACAAGATTCCAACGATATATATAAGCATAGACGTTCTTATTATTATATTTTATTTATTCTTTTGGTTCAACAAAATGGTTTATAAATCAATTTTATTTCATTGAGAAAAAAAACTTATTAATTTCTGGTTGGCACATACTATATTTATTTAATAAATTCTGTATGTCATAAAGAATAATTAGGGGACTTTTACTTATCCGACAGATCAAATAGAAACAGATACGGATTTTAATTTTATTTAATTTATTCTCTTGAATTGTAAGTCATTATATTTATAAATTTTGTTGACGATCATCAGGTACATTTTGTTGTTCCGTTTTGTGTATCTATGTGTATGTCTTGTTTAATAATTAGGTTAGTAGGATCAATATAGCGATTTTATTTTAATATATGTATATATATGTTAATAGAATTAATCATGATCAGATATATATATGTGTAGCGTATGTATATTTTGAGTAATATTTAAGTCTTATAGTTTTCCTAAATAGTAGTGGGAATGTTAGACACAAAATTTCAGATATATATGTATATATAAGAGGCGGTATTTATGCTTGTTTAAAAATGTAATCTTATTTCAACAAATCTGTTGGTCATGGTATTAGAGTTTATTATTAAAAGTGTCATGTATAAGAGTTATAATTTTTCTTTCGAACGTATTGTACGTTTATTCTCGGTTACTTGTTCGTAATGTAACGAGTACGTATTTTTACTGAGTGGCTTTATATGAATATATATATATGTCACTATTATAAAGACGATTTTATTTAGTTTTTGCGCAGAGTTTATTTTATTAATTATTTGTATTAAGCATTTTTGCTTGTAAATCAAGTCTTTGCGTCTCCTTTTATATGGTTAGGTCCTTAAGGTTATATTGTTAATAATTATTTAAAAGGGCCTTGTGGAGCAATTCCATTAAAGCAAATCGTTGAGGGTTTTGATTCTTACTTATAAGAGTGTTTCTTGTCTCTACTGGAAAATATGAGATTACTAGATTTGGCTTATATCGATGGGTTTTCTTTACAGATTCTTAAAATTGGGGATCTATGTGCGAGTATACGCGTATAAGGCGGAAAATATTCTAATTATTTGAAGAGTGTGGATTAAGCTCCATATATACTTATCGGAAGGATAATTGATCTTACACTTTACGATACTTTAACTAGAACTTAAATCTATTCTACGTGAGTATATATATTTTCTTTTTCTTTCCTTTCATATATTGTTTTTTGTTGTTATTTCATATATTGTTTTTTTTTTGTTAACAAAATGAATCGTTATCGAATCTGTTTCATTATGATTGATTGTTTGAATAATGAGAGATATTTGTAAATATATATATATTCTAGATTTGAAATTCTTTACATTATTATGGCTTTAAGATTTTCAATATTTTTAATTAAAGTTTATTCAATAAGTTTCCAATGATAACGGTTAGGTTCATTTTGTTAGATTTTGTCTATATATATATATATTTATATTTAAATATATTTGCTAATGCTGGTTTTACGGTTAGTTCCACTAGTATAACGGAATTTTATATAGAGTGATAACGATATGATAATATTATGACTTTTTATTGATATTTCTTTATAATTTTCAGGTATTCTGTAACGACTTTCAATGAGTGTACTACACATATGCTATCAGCGAGGGACAGATATATATATATAGACGTTATTATATAACAATAGTAGGTAAAGATTATGATATAGATATAGTTTTGGAATTTTAATATGCGATATAGTATAATATAAAGATTTTGAAAATTTTTTATTGCGGGACGTAACAAATGAATGTTTTTAATACGGATAACGCACGCCTATGCGACGTACTAACGTGAATTAAACGCTTTTTTTCAAGATAGCATGCGATGATGTGAACTACTGTACTAACCGGAAATGAATGTTTTTAATCCGAATAACGCACGCCTATATGATGTACTAACGTGAATTAAATGTTTTTTTTCAAGATAGCATACGCTGATGCGAACTACTGAACTAAGTAGAAATTAATTCTTTTAATTCGGATAACGCACGCCAATGCGACGTACTGATGTGAATTAAACGCTTTTTTTCAAGATAGCATGCGATGATGCGAAGTACTGAACTAAGTAGAAATGAATGCTTTTAGTTCGGATAGCGTACGCCTATGCGACGTACTAACGTGAATTAAACGCTTTTTTTCAAGATAGCATGCGATGATGCGAACTACTGAATTAAGCAGAAATGAATGCTTTTAATCCAAATAACGCATGCCTATACGACGTACTAACGTGAATTAAACGCTTTTTTTCAAGATAGCATGCGATGATGCGAACTACTGAACTAAGCAGAAATGAATGCTTTTAGTCCGAATAACGCACGCCTATGCGACGTTTTAACGTGAATTAAACGTTTTTTTTCAAGATGGCATGCGATGATGCGAACTACTGAATTAACTAGAAATGAATGCTTTTAATCCGAATAACGCACGCCTATACGACGTACTAACGTGAATTAAACGCTTTTTTTCAAAATAGCATGCGATGATGCGAAGTACTGAACTAAGTAGAAATGAATGCTTTTAGTTCGGATAACGCACGCCTATGCGACGTACTAACGTGAATTAAACGCTTTTTTTCAAGATAGCATGCGATGATGTGAACTACTGAACTAACCGGAAATGAATGTTTTTAATCCGAATAACGCACGCCTATATGACGTACTAACGTGAATTAAACGCTTTTTTTCAAGATAGCATACGATGATGCGAACTACTGAACTAAGTAGAAATTAATTCTTTTAATTCGGATAACGCACGCCAATGCGACGTCCTGACGTGAATTAAACGCTTTTTTTCAAGATAGCATGCGATGATGCGAAGTACTGAACTAAGTAGAAATGAATGCTTTTAGTTCGGATAGCGTACGCCTATGCGACGTACTAACGTGAATTAAACGCTTTTTTTGAAGATAGCATGCGATGATGCGAACTACTGAACTAAGCAGAAATGAATGCTTTTAATTCGAATAACGCATGCCTATACGACGTACTAACGAGAATTAAACGCTTTTTTCAAGATAGCATGCGATGATGCGAACTACTGAACTAAACAGAAATGAATGCTTTTAGTCCGAATAACGCACGCCTATGCGACGTTTTAACGTGAATTAAACCCTTTTTTTCAAGATGGCATGAGATGATGCGAACTACTGAATTAACTAGAAATGAATGCTTTTAATACGAATAACGCACGCCTATACGACGTACTAACGTGAATTAAACGCTCTTTTTCATGATGGCATGCGATGATGCAATACCACCCGTATATGCGTCGTAGGTACCGTCGATAACGGACTTTGAGAGGCGTGAGCCGCTCGAACGCCGTAGGTGCCGCCCGACTGCTCTATCGTAGATACCGCCCGGCCACGCGTCGTTGGTACCGCCGAGAACTGACAAGGTGCGTCACGAGCGGCGCGGAGGCCTTAGAAGCCGCCCAAAATTTCACTCGTAGGTACCGCCCGATAGCTCACTCGTAGTTACCGCCCGATAGCTCACTCGTACTGCCCGGCCACGCGTCGTAGATATCGGCGGGCTACGCTTCGTAGTTATCGCCGAGAACGGACTAGGTGCATCGCGAGCCGCGAGGATGCTGTAAGTATCGCACGACTACGCGTCGTAGGTACCGCCGAAAACGGACTTGGTGCGTTGCGAGCCGCGCGGAAGAAGTAGGTGCCGCCCGACCGTTCTCTCCTAGGTACCGCTCGGCCACGCGTCGTAGGTATCGTCTAGCTACGCATCGTAGGTACCACCGAGAACGGACATGGTGCGTCGTGAGCAGCGCGGAGGCACTAAAAGCCGCTCGAAATACCACTCGTTGGTAGCGCCCGAAAGCTCACTCCTTGGTACTGCCCGGACACGTGTCGTAAATATCGGCGGGCTACGCATCGTAGGTACCGCCGAGAACGGACTTGGTGCGCCGCGAGCAGCGCGGAGGCCGTAGGTGCCGCCCGACCGCTCTCTCGTAGGTATCGCCCGTAGGTATGGCCTGTTCTACACTACGTCGTATGTCGGCGTCGGATGTCGTTTGTCGTTTGTCGTACGTTGAATGTCGGATCTGAATACGACTTGCCATTCTACAATATAGTCGTAAGTCGGTGCAACAACAAATATAAAAATGGAAAGTAGAGTGATGAGAAATTATTTAAATCTATTATTAATTTTGTTACATATAACAAAAATTAGATTATGTTTAAGAAAAAGATGCAAAATAACAAGAAGGTGGTGGGTAAAATCACATATTTCAAGAAATATGAGACAAACTCATGGTGCTCATCGAACATTATTTACATATTTTCGGACGAATGATCATGAGGAGTTTTTTAAACTTACAAGGATGTCGATGCAACAATTCGATCACTTACATGATCTCTTAAAATTTAAATTAAAAAAAAAAGTCGTAGAGAACCTTTGCCAACAGAGATACGTATTGCAGTGACTTTGAGGTTAGTTTATTGATTATATTTTGTTGCAAATATTAATATAGTTCATTTATATTTTATTCTAAACAATATGAAATTTTATCATAAATTTAAATTTATTTTTAGTTTTTTTGCTCATGGAGACAGTGTATTGACCACTTCTTTACATTTTCGGATAGGAAAATCAACTGTATATAATATTATTCCTGAAGTGTGTAATGCAATATGGGAGGTATTGCAAGAGACATATCTTCGATATCCACAAGAAGAGAAGGAATGGCTAAAAATCGCAGATGAGTTCAATAATATGTGGGATTTTCCAAATTGTATCGGGGCAATTGATGGGAAGCATTGTCGAATACAAGCTCCACCAAATTCACATAGCGCTTTTCACAATTACAAGGGTTTTTTTAGTCTTATACTAATGGCTATTGTGGATGCTCATTACCGTTTCATTTGGGTGGACATTGGAGATTACGGTAAACTTATAAAATATTAATTTATAAATTATATAATCATTACAAATAAAATTTATTTTAAAGAGAAAAGAGCTGTGAGTAATATATACATGCTATATTATAGGTTCCCTGAATGACGCTGGAATCTGGTCACATACTACAATGAAGCAAGCATTTGAAAACAATATGTTATTTATACCAGAAGATCGTTCGTTACCTAATACAAATGATCTATTGCCATTTTCTATTGTTGGAGACGAAGGCTTTCCACTCAAAACATATTTAATGCGTCCATATGCAAAGAAAAATTTACAAAGTAACGAGCAAAAAGTGTTCAATTATCGGTTGTCAAGAGCACGTCGAGTCGTCGAAAATGCTTTTGGTATTCTTGTGGCACGATGGCGAATACTACAAAAACCTATAGCTCTGAAATTAAGTACTGTGGAGAAAATAGTGCAAGCTGTAACTTGTTTGCATAATTATATTATAAGTACCAATGTACAAAATAATTTTTATTTTAATGAAAGAATGGTAGATCGAGAAGAAGCTAATGGTGAAATAGTACCAGGGAATTGGCGAAATAAAATAGAAGAAAATAGTTTTATTCATCCTTTAGGGCGAGTTGGTGCCAACATTAGTACAGCTGCTGCTATGAGCAACGCGAAACTCTTGCTCGATATTTTGTCTCAGAAGAAGGAAGCATTCCATATCAATGGCAACGCATATAAATATTTTGTAGGAATAATAAAAATTACGTGTAAAGTTTTTGTAATTTCTTCCTTTATTAATAATAATATTAATTGCACATAAAACTTTATAATTTCTTAATCTTTGTATAACTTTGTAACCACAGTTATCTTGTCTTATCTCAATCTTATTAATACATATTAATTTTATCAGTCTTATTAATCTCATCAATATCAGTCTTATTAATACATAAAAAATATTTAATAAAATAATATTGTTTATAAAATATCAATTTTTTAAACGGCATACATGTAATAAGAAGTAGTACTATAAAAAGTAGTATTTGTACTATTTAATTTGTACTATTTAATTGAAACTTAAAATATATATATATTTCATTAGTATTATTTAATTGAAACTAAAAATATAAAATATAAGAGCTTATCCAGACAACTTGCATAATCACATAAACATATACATAAGAAAATTGATTGGTCCATTTCTTTATGCATTTGCTTATAGAACAATCAATTTCCTTATGCATATGTTTATGCGATTTGTAAGTTTGTCTGAAGAGGTCCTAACAGAAGCTTTAAATAACTTTAAACATAAAAAAATAAAAGAAACTTTATAAAGATAATATAACTGTATGCAAATCTTGCATCTTTTTATATCTTTTTTAAAACAAATATAGAGAACAGCATATAAAATTAAAAAAATTTCTTTATGTAAAACTAAACGGTAAAACTAAAATTATTGCCTTTCCTCATATTTTTGAATAATTTGGAGAACTTCTATAAGACATTGTGTCTTATTTTTAGAAGAAATATACTTCAATCCCTCTTCTATGGCAAACATGTAACCATCTTTGAAATGCTTATCATAATGCATTTGAGATGATACTTCTTTTATAGCAGCTGATATTTCTCTACTTGTTTCTGCTAAATCGCGATCAATTTTATCATCTTTGCTCCTCCGATGTCTTGCAAATTCATCCATTTCTGGCATTATTTTTTTAAGAGGCTTTAATATTAATGGAGTTTTTAAGTTTACCGAATTGGAACTCGTACTTGTCTCCGAAAATAGGATACTAGCACTACTACTGTTAGAAAGTGTACTGGCAGGCCTATTTAAAATCTCGTTATCATCTGTCATAGTTATTTCCTCATTTTCAATATTTAATGACGGTTTATTCTCTGAAAATAATTTATGCTATCAATATCAAATTTAAAAATTATACTTATTTTTGAAATTATACTTCTTTAATATATCTTAATAACCTTCAATTGATTGAACAGATCCACTGTAACTGTGATCATATAAAGAAATATTGGAAGATTGCTTGAATTTTTTTAAAGGTAAAAAAGTATTTCTTGTACTTGTTTCAAGTAATGAAGTTTGTAATTGATTCTGTTGAACAAATGATGTTTTTGTTCTGTAAATAAAATTATTAAATTAATTGTAAGAATTAAAATAAAATAATAAAATAAATATTGACAAGTAAAATACAAAATAAGTACAAATAAATATAAAACAATCCACAATAAATTAAGAAATGTTATAAAAACTAAAGACTTACTTTCTGTGAGCTACATGAGGAGTTAAAAATGACATATTTTTATATAACTCCCATTCCTTTACAGGTTCATATCCAGAACCAGAAGGTGGTAATGCTTGTCGTCTTTTCTCTCTACCAAACATGTCTCTTAAAGATGACCATCGTTTTTCAACTTCTTCAGCTACAAGATATAATTTTACATTATATATATATATATGTATTGATATTATGAATTGTAAAACATTATGAATTGTTTTTCCAAACAACATGTATGTCTTGTTGAAGATATCATGTATATATTAAAGAAACACACAAAATAACAGTAAGATAACATTAATGTTATACATTGTATTATTTTGTATTATTTTGTGTTTACTGGGAAAACGTTTTTTAGATGTCTTTAAAATATACGTTATCAGGGTTTTTATGTTATATATATAATAATTTTAATATTTTACAAATAATAATTTAAAAACCAAAATATTTACCTGACATATTTACCCCATATACATTTTGCAAAGTTTCGGAAATTTTTTTCCACACATCCTTCTTTTTCCTAATATTTTTAAAATCCACATTACATTTATCATATAAACAATGATTTTCACGCACAAAATCAATAATTATTTCGTCTAAATTTGTATGTTCCATGATAAAAATGAAGAAAAATAAAGAGGTTAAAATAGAGGTTATATTATATTTGCATCCAGTCGTAAGGCCTATCGGAAGTCGGAAGCCGGAAAAGATGAGAGTTGACCATCTCTCGTTACGATAATGACAACCGACTCCCGACAGCTTCATGCGACAGCCGACAACCGAGTGCGCATGCGTCCGACATCCGACGCCGACATACGACGTATTGTAGAACAGGCCTATGCGCCGTAGGTACAGCCGAGAACGGAATTGGTGCGTCGCAAGCCGAGCGAAAGACGTAGGTGCCGCCCGACCGCTCTCTCGTAAGTACCGCCCGGCTACGCGTCGTAGGTACCGCCCGGCTTGAGTTTTACGCCTTACAACCTTATGCTACGGCCATGCAGACGAACCTTTAATCCCGATTTTCAACAGATAATTTAAGTCCTAGGCCTTAAGAAATTGTCCAATCACAGCCGAGCATTGTCTTCATAAGCCGCGTTACGAAATTATTATCAGTATACAGCAAATTCTATAGTGTACGTTGCGTATATTATATATTTTCAGAGTTGACAGTAAACTGGCAGCAATTTCGGAACAGGGCCATACTTGACTGTGATTTGTCAATTTCTTGAGTCTTACGCCTTACAACCTTATGCTACGGCCATTGTAGACGACTCTTGAAGCGTCATCTACACTGAAATTTTAAGGAGACTTAAGGCGTAAGACTTAAGAAATTGACCAATCACAATCGAATATTCTCTTAATACTTGTCTGTAATTGGTCAATTTCTTAAATTTTACGCTTTAAGTCTCCTTAAAATTTCATTGCAGACGACGCTTAATGTATTGTCTATAAGATTTTAAGGCGAAAGTTTTAAGATATTTACCAATCACGGTCTAGTATTAAGAATATTCGATTGTGAATGGTCAATTTCTTAAGTCTTACGCCTTAAAATCTCATTGTACAAGACGCTTAACACGTCATCTACAATGGCAATAGGATTAACGGTTTAAAGCAGTACCTTAAGGGGATGTCGGACCTTCTTTTTGTACCGACAAAATTTTGTGCACGCTATACTCTTTATTAGTTGCACAGAATAATAAATGCTTTTCCACAATTAAATTACACATAGCAACAAAGATGAGAGTGAACTATTTTTTGTTCAAAATGAAAAAAAATAGAAAATTACAGTTTTCTTATCGGCTTCTGACATCAACTCGTAACGTTATTAACTGAATATAAAAGTTTTGCTGTTTGTACGTACAAAATAAGAGCACCTCTCACCTCAGAATTTCCTGAAGGAATATACATGAGCAGTCAGAAATGCGTTTAGAAGCGTAGTAAAAATAATTAGTGTGCACAAAAATTTCGTGCATATGTGTGTGTGCGAAATCGAGGCATGTGAGTAAAACAGTCCTGTAAATTAGTTGCTTGCTAGCGCAACAGACGGCACTATAATCGGTTTGTGTGACAAGGAGAATCAATCTCGTACCATCCTTCTCTTTCATTTTGCGTGTAAGATACGTTAGTATACATTTCATCTTGCGTGTAGGATACGTTAGTATACATGTACGCGCCCACTAAAGCATTAAATTCTTTTCTTTCTCAAATTCCGCGTAGTAGATACTTGTTGTCACACAATGATGTAACAAGCTGCGAGAAAACAGCGTTACAACGTGATACGTAAAAAAAATATTCTGTGTAAGTTATACATATATACATATACATTGTGACGTGGCCATCCCGTCGCGTCTATCCGCCCCGGCAACTTTGACGGGGCGCGAGCCGAGTGGCCGCGCCAAAGATCAAGAGAGAGAGAGAGAGCTACCGTACTCCCCGGAGAGACGAGCGAATTAGTATAGTTAGGGATACGATTAATTGTTTTTTTTGTATTTTTTATTTAATTGCGTCGAGTCTGAGGCACCTCACCACCGAACACCGAAGACCAGGGAAGAGCGGCATCACCTCCCCACGACAGCGAAAAACGACAGCCAAGGGACATTCATGAGAGCGGAGGATCCTGTCCCGGAAAGCCCGGCATCGTGGTTCCGGACAGGGGAGAGCAGCATAGCCTCCCCTCGACAGCCGGGAACGACAGCCGGGAACGACAGCCGCTGCGACAGCCATCCTCCTGGAGAGGATACGTCCGGGAAGGACCTCACCCGGGCCATATAAGGGCCCGCGGCAACGTTCAAGTTTGGCGCTATTTCGCGCGGGGCGCGATAATGCTTCGCGTGGCGCGCGAGGCGCCAGGACCTCGCGCGTGTCGGCCGCTAATTGGCCGGGGGTCCGCGCATCCCCCTGCGCGGCCAACGACCCCGCTATCGACTCTGGATCGCGAGATCCAGGGATCACTCTGTCGCGGCCGCTCGACTGAACCAGTCAAGAAGATTGTTCTGTGTGCTCTTGAGACGAGACAGACCGTGAAGGACGAGACCGAGGATCATCCCCGCAGCCGGGAGAAGCCCTCGTCGGTGAGGTTGCCCACGTAATTTTGGTACTCCGTGAGCGTGATTGTGTCCGCTCGCCGGCCGTTCTATCGCCGTCGCCATTACGGCATTTATCGCGACCGCTCGAGCCTTCTGCCGAGTCGGTCGAATTTTGTGGATTTCGGGCGACCGGAGATAAGCGACCGAGGAAGCGCGGACACGGGCGACGGAAGTGCGTATCGTAGGGTAATCTTCGTCTCTCTCCGGGTGTCAGAGTGCGTAATACGCGTAGCATTCGACCGTTGGATATCGACCGCGTGCGTCGTAAATCGCGAGAAATGCGTAGTTCGCACGGGCTGTCGTTTGGTTGTCGAAGCCGCGTCTCGCACCTCTGAAAAATGTCTCAGAGCGAGTCTGTGGAACGTAGTTGGTCGTGAGTAATGAGTCTTCGTGTAATCTAATTGTCGTTCGTGAATATTGCGCGAAACTGCGTATTATTGTCGCGTCCATTGTGTGCGTGTGAGTTGTTCGTCTCGAAAAGAGAAACGTAATTCCTCGAAATTGTCGCGGTGTGCGGGTATCGCACGATTCTAAGTAGCGATATCTGAGGTCAGGAAATTCCTGGCAAATATTGCGGCTATCGAAGGAGGCGCGGTGCGGGACTGTCGCCCGGCCTTCCTTATTGCCTTGAGACGAGAAGATAATTAATTCTCACGCTGTCGAAGGTATCGGGGGTGTGACACGACATTGTCGCATCGCCCCGATTGCCAGAAATATTTAAGTTGCGAGCGTCGCAGAAGAAGGCGGAAAAATCTCCGACCGCCGCCGGCTATCGAACTTCGCCGGTATCGACCGCCAATCGTATGCGAGATCTCTCCTCGCGGAACTAATATCTTTTCGCTTATTGCGTAACTAATCGGCCGTCTTATTTCTGGTCTTGTCGACTTCGAGTACGCTCGGAGGAAATTGCGAGATACGCAGCTCATTAGTAAGATCTCCGCGAGGCTGTCGAAGCTGCGAAGGATAGGCAGGTATTATCGCACTCTCTCTCTCTCGCGTATGATACGACCGTTATCGAGAATTCGAATTATCAAGGTTCTGTATAGAAATTATTGTTCTCAGGAGCTTCGACTTCAGGAAGCTTCCGTAATAGACGCTCTTTGGTAGACCGCCTTAGAATATCGCGCGTTTTTCTAGCGTTTCGAGAATTATTGTCAGTTCATGTCTAGTACGTTATTTCTG